AGACAATGACATTCTCAATTTTCCCACTGTAGCACATTTCCAATGAATGAAAGATACAACAATTTTACGTAAATATTAATTTATTTTCAGAGAATTACGGGATATCTTGACGTCGTTGACAACGTGATATCAACGTCACTCGCACTATGTGCATTTCAGCACTAGATCTAGTGCCGTTTTAGCACTAGATCTAGTGCCATTTTAGCACTAGATCTAGTAGTTTTTCGGATTAGTGCTACTAGCACTAACCACTCGCACTATGTCCATTTCGACACATTTACATACCTCCATATTCACATCCTTTACGGTTACATTTAGCACTAATGGTATAAACAAAAAACATCATCACTCGTGTCTCTTTATTTTATTACGCTCCAAACCAAACACATGCCTGACAGAGCGAGAGGGCAGAATATCTACTTTTAATATACGGCTGCCGGTGTACTTCCCAGCTTACTGTTCTGCTAATTGGTTGAGGGCACCTGTCATATAAGAAGATTTGTCAACCAATTAGAAAATGTTTTAAAACTATATTGTACTAGAAACAGTTTATAACACATATTCTGATTGGTTGCTAATTTGGTACTTGCTCATGTCTACTATGGTGGCACTTATAATAAAAGTAACTAAAGCTTCTATCTACATCTGACACTACTGTGGAATACTTTATTTTCGCTTGGAATTTATTTTCGCTATTTTCGTTAAAGGGATGATTCCGTGAAAATAAAATCCAGCGAATATACTTTTTTTCCTATATTTCACATTAAACTCATCAAAAATCAGTGAAAATAAATTCCATACAAAACGCCCAAAATACCGAAAATTAATTCCAGCGAAAATAAAGTATTCCACAGTATTTCCAGAACTGTGTGCTCGCATTTATTGATTCTATTATTCTGCTTCTGTTCTATAGTTGATCTTGACCTATATTGCACATACTACTCGCTATGCGCAAGGGTTCACAACCATAACAGTACTTCATCCTTTTCTTCACCAGACCTTCTCACCCAAATTTTTTCCCACTTTTTTGCTCCACTGTCATCGCAGATGACCCAGCGGAGCTGTTGGTATGGGGGTCTCTTCAGGGTCGTCCGTCCTGCGTGAATTTTCCTTTAAAGGACTTTTTCTTCAAAAGTACTTGACCACTTACATTCATGGTTGTACCAAAGGTACTTGGGGTGGTCCTCTGTCAGATTTGTTAAATTTGTGTCAAAATATGCAAATTTGGATTTTTAGTGAATATTTTTGTCATTTTTGGTAAATTCTTTTATTTTCGACAACTAGTCCGAAACCGTAAGTCCAAATGCTTTGATATTTGCAGCAATGTTACTTGAGGTGGTTCTCTGTCAGATGTGTCAAAATATTCCAATTTGGATTTTTAGTGAATATTTTTGTCATTTTTGGTAAAAAATGTTATTTTCGACAACTAGTCCGAAACCGCAAGTCCAAATGCTTTGATATTTGCAGCAATGGTACTTGGGGTGGTACTCTGTCAGATGTGTGCCAAAATATGCCAATTTGGATTTTTAGTGAATATTTTTGTCATTTTCAAAACCGTCAGCCACAATGCCACTTTATTGATTATTGTTCGTAATAATGAAGACTGCGAAGCTATTTCGACCGCCAGGTCGCTTGTTTCTTGTATTCTTAAATTTTTCTGGAAATGAACACTAATTTTGAAGCCAACTGACAAAATTTGAGTCGATCAATTTAAGTTTCAGTTTTTGGCTATTTTTGACCTAGTTCTGAAAGGAAGTGCAGACTATAAACGGGACTATTTTGTGAATTTGTGATGAAAAGAGGAAACTAGTGGTGAAAAGGTTATTTACACAAAAGCCACTAACTATGATAAAGCACAATGCACAATATGGACAGTTTTCTGAATTTACTAGTTTAGCTTGCCTGTAAATGCTTAAAACTGAATATCAATATAAAACTTTCATTATGAAACTCATCTAAGCATATGTGCACTTCTGGCATCAGTGCCGCTTTATTAATCAGTTTGGGTATAAATTTTGATAATCTTGAAAAAATCAACATTTCTGATTGATTTAGTTTTTTTAGAAAATTTAACTTAACCTTTTCACTAGACTGGCGCAGTCGGGGCGATTAATTTGTTTTTGTAGTTCAAATAAAATACAAAAAATCGAGAAATGGAGGTGTTAGCGCGAAATCCCCTGTAACTGTGAAATCACCCTGACTGGTCTATTCTGCATGACCCTCTATCGACACTGCAGTAACCCGTCGATTTTTCAACCGGTTATTATGTTAATGATGTTCTAATTGACAATCATCTAAGCCAATCACAACGTCTCTTCAACTGATCTCTGACCGAGAAGACGTCGGCTTGTTGTAGCAGCCGATTTTTTTTTATTCTACGACTAGTACGG